GGACTTCCATTTGTTTACATATAGGAGAGTAGTGGAAGGTTTGCAAGCCTGAAGGAGAACGTTCATGATGTCGGGAGTATCCTCCAGGCTGCAAGACTGACAGAGGCAACGTCTGGGTGAAGGACCAGGCCGTGGTCGAGCAAGAGGAGATCTGGGCAGAGAGGAAGACAGAGCATGTCCGACGACATCGATACCAGGTGAGTGAACCATGGCTGGCAGGGCCAGTACGGGGCTATCAGGATCGCATTGGCGCCGTCTTGCCGGAGACGGATGATTACCCTCTGGATGAGAGGTAGAGGGGGAAATACGAAGAGGAGATTGTGAGACCAGTCCATCAGGAATACGTCTCCCAGAGAGGCGCTGTCTCTTCCCGCTCTGGAGCAGAATCTGGCACATTTCTTGTTGGCATCAGACGCAAAGAGGTCTATAGAAGGCGTGCCCCATTGTCGGCATAGCCGCTGAAATATGACGTTCAGAGTCCATTTGTGAGTTCTCGTTGGAAGCCGACTGAGCTGATCGGCTAAGGTGTTGTCGTCGGTGGAAATGTGGACAGCAATAGGGAAAACATGGTTGGAATAGCAGCACTCCCAAAGGTTGACAGCTAGGTAGAGCAGAGAAGGGGAGTGGGTACCTCCTTGCTTGTTGACATAGAAGAGTGCAGTGGTGTTGTCTGTTGCCAACTGTACTACCTGTCCTTGGATCAGGGGAAGAAAGGCATGGAACGCTTTGATGATTGCCAACAATTCCAGATGGTTTATGTGAAGTGGCAGTTCTTGTGTTGACCAGAGCCCGTGGACTGTGTGCTGAAGGAAGTGGGCACCCCATCCCATGGGGCTGGCGTCAGTTGTGACCTGTATGGAAGGTTGCAGGGGGAGAAAGGTCTGCCGATGAGGAGGTTGTCTGGGCAAGTCCACCAGTCGAGCTGGGAGGCTAGATCCAGTGTTACCAACAGTAGTGAGGATGGGAGGTCTGTCGCTGGGTTGAACAGGGAGAGAAACCATGCCTGCAGAGACCTCATTTTGAGCCTGGCGTGTTGGACGACGGTCGTCGTCAATGCCATGAGTCCTAGGAGATGTTGGCAATTGTCGATGTAGGGATGTTTATTCCCTGCAGGCGGAGGAAGGCGGCTACCGGTGCCATGTACTTGGTGAAAGTCCGGGGGGGTGGTAGAGAGCCCGAACGGGAGAGCATAGAATTGGAAGGCGGTGCCGTTGAAATGGAATCTGAGGAATTTTTGGTGGTCCTGATGAATGGAGACATGAAAATAGGCATCCTGCAGGTTGATGATTATGAACCAGTCTCCCTGCAAAAGCAAAGGGATAATAAGAGTCCAGTGTGAGCATGTGGAATTTACAGGGAGATATGAAACGGTTGAGATGAGTGAGATCGAGGATGGGGCGAAGACCTCCATCTTTCTTAGGAACAGTAAAGTATTTTGAGTAGAAACCGTTGAGAGAGTCCAAAGTAGGGACTGGTAAAATGGTGTGTTTTTGGAGAAGTTTAGCAACCTCATCCTGCAGGGCAGAGGAGTAGGGGGTGTACCGAATGAACCCCAAAGGAGGCAAGTCGGAGAATTCTATAAGGTAGCCATACGCTATGATAGACAGAACCCATTTGTCTGATGCAATGGCTTCTTGCCAACGATGGAAAAATGAGGCCAGTCTGGTAGAGTTCAGTGGACAAAGAGAAATGTCAGGAAAGGGAGGCAAAAGTAGTTGTCAATATTGCTTACCCTTTCACTGTCCTTTACGAAAGGATGGACGTTGACAAGGTAGGTTTTGAGGCCAGTACGATGCCATCAAAGGTTGAGGGGCAGGTAGGGACCTGTCGGTTTGATGGGAGCGATATTGCCTGTAAGGCTGGAACCTTTCATTTTGATACTGCTTGGGGTGATACTGGCCCAAGCAGTAAAAGGGTCATTGGTAGGAGATAGAAGGCTGATTAGAATAAGAGTGTGCAGTCTTGCGCTTCTTATGGAAGTCCTCCATGGTGTCATCTGTTGTTGAATTGAACAGGCCGGCACCGTCAAAGGGCAAGTCCTGGATTCTTGACTTGGTGTCATCAGAGATCATGGAGGACTTGAGCCAGGCATGACATCAAATGGAAATGGAGGTAGCCAAAGTCTTAGAGACGGCCTCAGTGGAGTGTCGCCCCGCAATCCTCTGGTACTTGGCCAAAGAAATGGCTTGAGAATGGATATTGATGAGATCAGAGCTCATGGGCTCAGGGGGCGTATCAATTAGAGGAAGGACTTGGTTGCAAAGATGACACTGAAAGGCGCCCGTGGTTGCCTGGTAGCTAATACTTCTGAGCAAAAAGGATTGCAAAGAGTAAACTCGTTTCGTCAATGTGTCAACTTTTCTGCCATCCTTATTGGCAAGGGTAGGTTTAGACCTGGCATGGGTTCTAGCTTGACTGGACTCAACGATGATAGAGTTAGGCACTGGATACTTATTGAGGAATTCAGCATCGACACCATGGGTCCTATAGAGGTGATCAGTACGGCAAGATATTTGCATAGTGGAAGGGGGTTTTCCCCAAGTGTCCTTAATAAGTTGAAGGATAGACTTATTGAAAGGGAGACTCAGAGGAGTGGCACGCTCCTGGTTGATGTCGTCGAACACCAGGTCGGCATCAGCAGACGGGGGCTGTTTGGTATCGAGGTGCAGGGCTTGTGCCATTTGGAAGATAAGCGTAGAGTAGGAGGAGAAGTCATCTGAAGAAGACGAAGCATGGCTATCCCTCATATCTGGAAGCGGGGGAGGTAGCTCCGGTTCATGGGAGGACTCAGAGTGTTGTGCCTCTGAAGATACAGGGGAGCCTAGAGATGAAGGGTAGTCTGACTGACCGAAACCCTCTGTCAAGGGGGCTTGGTGTCATTGAGTCAGTAGGACCTCGAAAGGGTCCTGAGATGGCATCGGGTCTGGCATCAAGGGTGCGGGACGTGGAGTTAAAGCTCTGCGAGCTTTGTCTTGCTTCTGAGGTAGTGAGGTTGGCTTAGATGAGGCAGAAAGGCATGCAGATGGAGCAGAGACTGCCGGGGCAGAAGTGACGGTTCGAGTCCATAAAGGGGGTGGCATGGGAGATTTCTGGTGTCGTTTGAGGCCGTTTAGCCTGCTCAGACTGGTACCTTTCATACAGGGTTTGCCAGATGTAGGGGTCAAAACACTGATACGGTATCATGGGGAAGGGGCAGAAATTACCTTCCGCGGAGGAGAAGGGGGAACCTCCGGATCTGATGCCGAGTTTTCAGCTGCCCGCCCTGCGTCAGGGTTGGAATGGGCTGAGGCTGGGCTGGACTGTGGCGCAGCCCCAATGAGGCCAATGCTTGGAGTTTGGAGCGGCATCGTGGGGGGAGCGCGACATCATGGGCGTCCTCTCCCTGCAAGGCCAAATCAGGGCTTCTCTGGATGATTCCTCGAGGACGGGGGAGGATAGGGAAAGCTGAGGGGGCTCCATGTGGGGAAGTCTGTCCTTCCTGAGCTTCTTAGGAGCAGGCTTAGGCTTTTTCTTGGGGCCTGGGTCGTGTCCTCGAGTTCTTTGCAAGGAGGGCAACTTGTGCTTACCAGACAACTTTGCTTTCTCAACAGTGTCCTTAGCTGGTAGCACAAACATAGTCAGAGGTAGACTGGCCTGCTGGAAGCCTATTGGCTGAGAGAGCAGGAGATCTAGCAGCCTCTGAAGAAGTAGGAGGAGGATTACAAAGCCTTGGAGCCTCTGTTTAAGTGCCAGCTTGGTTAGGTTTTTACAAGCGGGCCACGAATGGGTCGGATGTTCCTCGCCCAGGCAAAAAAGGCACTGGCTATGACCGTCAGAAGGTGCGATTTTATTCGCACAAGTAGTACAACGTTTGAAAGGAGACGGCGAGGCCATAAGCAAAAGACTAGTGGGGGGGAAGGGAAGGGGGGAAGGGGGAAAAGGAA